GTTGGTTGAAGCACTGGTTCAGTGTTCCTGTTTACACACTATGCAGCAGGGTTGCCAGGTTTGGTGGTTCCCGCATATTTTTTTCCAAGAGACTTGTATTAAATAAACAGAAAGACAATAAACAGAATCAGCCCAAGTTGATAACATTACGTTTTTAGCCAAAAAATCATACTGAGTGTTTTTTTTTTTTTTTGGGTATTCTTGTGGATTTTGGGTTGGAAAATCTTGCTGGGATTTGGCAACCTATGGGAGCCGTGTGCTTCGATGTGAGTGGTTGAAAGCAGACTTCATTCAAGATAACGGACAAGTGGTCTATCCAACCACATACAAGGATTTTTTTTACAAGGCCCTGCCTTCTGAAATCCTACCACTATGGCTCAGTACCAGACTCATGTGTGAAGTGCAGCGAACTACATGGGTCTGGCAAGAGTCAGGCTACGTTGCTATGGTCTTTTCTCGATTTGGGGGGATCAGACAAAAAAAAAAAAAATTGATTTTGAAACCTTTAGTAGTTCTCTTCTAAAATAAAATGGTATTAAAACTGAATTTCTAAATCAATCAAACCCTGCATAAGGTGTTTAAGATAAAAATCACTCAATTCAAAGATGACCTCCTAATTTATTATTTTTTTGCAGTGTAGCTGTAATTTAGACAGCAATAAAACCCAGCTCTTTTATATCCCGTAGTGGGTCAGGAGAAGAAGGTCATAAAACTTCACACAAGTCACACGAGGGACCACACTCTGCATAATGACAGCCGTGGAGTAGTGTTTGGGTGAGTGAAGCTCTTACCGTCAGAGTTTGAGCTGTTGCATGCGCTAAAATATGTTCATAAAAGGTTTATATATCTCGACATGGAGGATAAATTTGCCGTGGTCTGTTATCGTTTGATTCCACCTGTCCCTGGGTGCACTGTGCTGTCACTTCAGAAGGCTAGTTTGGAAGTTTGTTTAGACTCTTTCATTTCGACACCTTCATGTCCTCTCCTTGGTGACAAGCCGACACAGGTCCAAACAACACGCCACTCTTTCTCAGTGTGTATGGAAAGGGTGCCCCGGAGTAATTGTTTGGAATTCCTGTGAGGCTATAGATAGATTTAGTATATATAATCATTTTAAATATCGTTTTTTATTTGGTTGAGTTTAAGTGTGTGTATGTGTGTGTGAGTGTGTGCAAGTGTAGGTGTGTAGGTGTACTGTATGCGTATGTGTGTGCATGTGAGGGTGTGAGTTTGTGTGTGTATGTGTGCGCGCATATGTAGGTGTGCGCACGTATGTAGGTGTGTGTGTATGCATGTTTTTGTGTGTGTGCATATTTAGGTGTGAGTGTGTGTGTGTGTGTGTGTGTGGGTGTGTATGTGCATTCGTGTGTGAGTGCTTTTTAGGTGTGAATGTGTGTGTGTATATCATGTATATATGTGTGTGTATAAGTGTGTGTGTGCTTTTTAGGTGTGAATGTGTGTGTGTATATCATGTATATATGTGTGTGTGTATAAGTGTGTGTGTCCTTTTTAGGTGTGAATGTGTGTGTGTATATCATGTATATATGTGTGTGTGTATAAGTGTGTGTGTCCTTTTTAGGTGTGAATGTGTGTGTGTATATCATGTATATATGTGTGTGTATAAGTGTGTGTGTCCTTTTTAGGTGTGAATGTGTGTGTGTATATCATGTATATATGTGTGTGTATAAGTGTGTGTGTGTTTTGATCTGGACTGCTGTCTTTATCCCCCACAGACACACACAAACCCTCATCTGTGTCCAAGCTCTCGACCCGACTGTAATAAACTCCTCTGCTCTCAGAACCGGACTAAAAATACTCCTGCTCCTCCGTGTGCGCAGGCCAGATACTCTCTCAGCGAGTCTCCAGTTTCCACTTACCATCTCCTCCTCAGTCTGCCTCAAAACTGAACCTTTTAACAATCGTTATGTCATAAAAATAGACATATATCATCTATTACTGCTGCTCTGACTTTCAAAAGTACATACTGTGGAAGATTGACTTTTCAGAACTTCTGAGTGGATTATAATTGTTTTTTTCCTCTCTCATTTTTCCATCCAAAGGAGTATCGAGAGTGATGCGTATTTGAATAATGTTTTCAACAGTGTCATGCCGCTGCTTGCTCTGCTCGCACCTTTAGGCATTTTAAGTAGAAATGTAGATTATTTCCTTTCATGCTGGCCTTATTCTGTTTTTACTTTTTTAACTTAATTGATTCTGATTGATAAAGTGATCTAGTGCTATGTTGGGTTAGGATACTTTGTTGTGATAACTTATATGTTGTAGATGTCAAAGTTCAAATCATAGACCGTATATTAGGAGTGGACTGGCTGAGCGGTGACATCACTATAGTCATCACTGTTAGGGTAGAGGCATTGAATATTAGCTAGCTGGAGCCATTTTGCTTATATGGGCATTACTTCCGCAACGTTAGCTTCTCGTCCTTCACATCTTGATCGACCATTTTTTGGCTATTTCTGGTGTTTACAAAGACAGTATCAACATAGAAACACCAGGATCACAGAGAGTTCTAAATCACCAATTTCTTTAAGTCCAAAATGGTGAGTGTGACACAATCAGTTCTTGAACTAGAGGAGTTTACTTTTCAATGGAAGTCAATAGTAGCCAGAGCGAGTTGGAGAAAAACTTCCATGAGCACTTCCCTATTGGGTTAGGGTTAGGGCTTCATTGAGCTAGCGGGTTAGCATTGTCCATCTATATACAGGTTATGGTTCAGTAGGGCGACAGTGGCTCAGTTGGTAGAGCATTGGCCTTTGAGCCTGAAGGTTGTGGGTTTGAGCCCACCATGAGACCTTCTCCACCAACGCCCATTGACGACTGCTTTTGTTGTGCCCTTGGGTCCTTGATCTGGACTTTAGGAAGGAAAAGAAGACTAAAACATGACATCATCTCTCTATTCATTCATTTTTGACCAAAAATATTTGAGCTGGGAATTAAAGTAATTTTAGTGATAGTTTATATATTATTGTACAAACGTTCAGTTACAGTGTGTTTTACTGCTCGGCACTTTGGTGAGGTTAGATGTCGTAAAGGGGCCGGTGCAAGTCAAGTCAATTATTATTATTATGTTCGGTTCATTGGAATTTAATATTTTTTTATGTGAAATAATGAAACAAGTAGAAAAGATATGGATGAGCAAGTAATAGAGAATAAGAGATGGCTGGGATGAGCAACACTTCCATCTGCTGATAGAATAATAATAATAATAATAAATTTTATTTATAATGCACTTTATATTTGACACCAAATCTCAAAGTGCTACAAACAGGAGCATAAATAAAAGCAAACACATAAAATCAGATAAAAGACTATAAAAGAATTAGCAGTACGCTTTAGTAAAAAGATGGGTTTTGAGTCCCTTTTTAAAAGCTTCCACCGTCTGTGGGGCCCTGAGGTGGTCCGGGAGGGCGTTCCACAGACGGGGAGCAGCGGCCTCGAAGGCCCGGTCCCCCATTTTCTTGAGCCGTGTCCTGGGCGGGAGCAGACGGTGCTGTTGGCCTGACCGGGTTCTGCCTGAGGATTGTGGAGTGAGGAGGTCAGTGAGGTAGGTGGGGGCATCACCGTGGAGACAGTGGTGGGTGTGCAGGAGGATCTTATATTCTATACGGAGGTGAACGGGGAGCCAGTGGAGGGTGTGAAGGATGGGGGTGATGTGCTCATGCTTCCGCACCCACATCAGGACCCTGGCCGCGCTGTTTTGTACGTACTGGAGCTTTTGAAGGCTCCTGCCAGGGATCCCGATGAGGAGTGCGTTGCAGTAATCCAACCTGGAGGAGACAAAGGCATGGACGAGCTTCTCTGCAGCCGGGAGAGAGAGAGAAGAGCGGAGTTTTGAAATATTACGGAGGTGGAAGAAGGAAGTTTTGCAGATGTGATGTATGTGATTTACGAAGGAAAGTGGGGGTCAAACTTGACCCCGAGATTGGTTACAGAGGGAGAGAGGGGAATGCTGTGGCCAAAGAGAGAGATTGAGGTGATGGGAGAAGAGTGAAGTTGATGGGGAGTACCAGTTTGAATGGCTTCTGTTTTTGAGCCATTCAGCTGCAGGAAGTTTTGCCTCATCCATGCCCCTATCTCCTCCAGGCAGGAGGTAAGACAGGAGAGAGATGCAGAGGGAGGGGTGGATGGAGTGACTTTGAGATAAAGTTGTGTGTCGTCAGCATAGCAATGGAAGTGAATTCCATGCCTGCTGACGACACACCTGAGGGGAAGCATGTACATGGTGAAGAGGGTGGGACCGAGCACGGAGCCCTGGGGGACCCCACAGGTGACAGAGTGGGGGCGAGATTTAGCGTCCCCCAGAACCACATGCTCGGTTCGGTCAGTGAGGTAGGAGTGAAACCAGTGGAGGGCAGTGTGGGAGAGGCCAATGTGGTGCTGGAGGCGATGTAAAAGGATGTTATGGCATAGAGACTATTTGATTTGAGATGATTATGAAGTTGAGTGGAGACTGCTCTTTCGAGGATTTTGGAAATGAATGGAAGGTTTGAGACAGGGCGGTAATGGGAGAGGGGCACAGGGTCAAGAGTGGGTTTTTTAAGTAATGGTTTTATGAGAGCTGTTTTGAGGGAGGGTGGAATGGTGCCAGTACCAAGGGAGAGATTGATAATTTTGGTTATTGTGGGACTGATGAATTTGGAGTGGGTTTTGAGCAGAGGGGTAGGGAGTGGGTCCAAGGAGCAGGTGGATGGTTTAGAGGTATGAATGATCTTCTCGACCTCCTGCTGCGTCATGGGTGTGAAATGAGAGAGACTATGTGATGAGGGGGATTTTGAAATGCCTAGGGAAGAATCTTGTGTAGCTGTGAGGGTGGAACGGATGTTGTCAATTTTGGAAGTGAAAAAATCAAGGAAGTTATTGCAATTCGTTACTGTTGGGGTGTGATGGGAACGCAACTGAGTTTGAGAAGATGTTGTATGGTGGAGAAAAGTTTTTTGGAATTACCTGGGTTATTATTAATGATTGTGGAGAAATGACCTGACCTTGCTGATGAGAGTGCTTTTGCGTAGGATTTCTGATGTTCCCGGTAGGCCAACTTATGCACCGTCAGCCCAGATGTAGTATAGGCCCGCTCCAGGACACGGCCTGACCTTTTCATGGCCCTGTGCTGGTTGGTGTACCAGGGAGCTGAGCGGGTGAAGTTGACAGTCCGGGTCTTCAGTGGGGCATGAATGTCCAGAATGGAGCTGAGGCTGTTGTTGTAGTGGTCCATTAGGTCTGCTGCTGAAGATTCCGGGGGAGCTGAAAGAAGTTGAAGGTCGTGTTCGAAGGAGACAGGGTTAATGTTTTTAATGTTCCGAAAAGTGATATGTCGTTTTTGTTTGTCGAGATGGGAGGATGTGGGAACTGTGAAGGAAGTGACTAGATGGTCAGAGATACCAATGTCATACATCTGCAGGTCAGTGATTGGGATGGAGTCTGTGATAACCAAGTCCAGTGTGTGACCTTTATTGTGGGTGGGACAGTTGATGAGTTGTTTTAGATTTAGACAGTCCAAAACCTGATTAAATTCAGTGGTGAGTCGACAGGTCAGCAAATCCATGTGTATATTGATGTCACCAGTGATTAGGATGTTTTTGTAGGATGAGCAGAGTGAGCTGAGAAAGTCATGGATGTCTGAAATGAAAGATGGCTGTGGTTTGGGGGGGCGGTAGATCAGGGCTATTGTAGCAATAAGTGGATGTTTACAGTTAAAGACCAAGCTCTCGAAATGAAGATGTTGATGGGGTTGGAAGAGGGGATAGATGAAGGGTGCTTCATAGAAGTGTGGAAATAAACTGTACTCTTATACATGTATACCGAACATCATTTGGCATTGACATTGGAAAAGTTGTTACAGATTTTTGTTTTGTTTTTTTCTGAACTAGATAATGTCACCTGCCCTGAACTATTAGCTTGGACAAAAACTTGATATATCGCCGTACCTTTTGCTGCTTTTCGTGCCTTGTCCTTGGTTGTCAAACGAAAGGCGATCTGAGTGAGTTATGAATCAAATTTGTTTCTCACCCAAATGCTATTAGCTCCTCATTCATTATGCATGCTGCGGGAAAGGCCAGCGTTTACGTGTCTTCTGCTACGGCTCTGTTACAGGTACAGCCGTTCTTTATTATCGATGATTTTGCTTTTTTAAAAGGTCCAAAAATGAATTATTCAGGCTTTTTGACATTGTATTGTGACTCCTCTGATTTTGCTTTGTTTATAGCTTGATATCATAGACTGAATATATATATATGCAACTCATCATGGCTGCACAGGAACAGGCACTGCACAGGAATAGGCACTGAGCCCCAGAGCGATAGAGGCCCAGATATACCATACCAGACAAGACCCAAGATGTCGGTTGTGCAAAGAGGCACCTGAGACGATCCAACGGGCCAAAGGTGAGTGGACAATTTTTTATATATATATTTATATATATATATATATATATATATATACAAAATCTCACCTTTGGCCCTCCACGGAGGGGGTTATCCCTCTCTAAGCTCGGGTCCTCTACCAGAGGCCTGGGAGCTTGAGGGTTCTGCGCAGTATCTTTGCTGTTCCTAGCACTTCACATTTCTGGACCGAGATGTCCGAGGTTGTTCCAGGGATCCGCTGTAACCACTCCTCTAGCTTCGGGGTCACTGCCCCGAGTGCACCGATCACCACGGGCACTACTGTCACCTTTACCCTCCAGGCCCTCTCCAGCTCCTCTCTGAGACCTTGGTATTTCTCAAGCATATATATATACTATATGTATATATATATATATATATACTGTATATCTGACTCCCATTGACTTATATTGAAAAGTAAACTCCTCAGTAACATGGTGTCACACTCACCAATTTGAGCTTAAAAATGTTTATTTTTCCTCTTTTTGTCTTATTTATGTCGGAGACTTTTTCAACATTTATAGTCATTGGTCTTCTGCCCCTTATGGACCAATGGCACTATGTGTTTTAATCATTGCATTGTGTTAGAACGGTTTGATTTTCTGATCAGTGTTGGCAAATTCACCGGTTTTGTAAAGTCCTCCAATGGTGTCGATGGTGTCTGTTATTTGAGCCAGGAATGTCATGGATTTAAGGGTGTATTCAGACCTGCACATTTGCTCCACTTTAAACGGACCAGGATTCGTTTGGAACTCTGATCCGAAGCTTTTATGCAGGTCTGAATACACACAAACGAATCCTGGTCCGGACCAAAGAACCGAACCGAGACCCACTTTTTTAGGTGGTCTCGCTCCGCTTCCAAACGAATTCTGGTCCAAGTCGAATCAGGTCTGAATACAACCAGTGTCGATCCGACACAACTCCAAGATACGTGCGCATTTTTTGGGCTTAACAAGCCGCAGACAGAAACTGTGAGGAATTAGCCACACGTCACAGCGGCTAACTATGCTGCTAACGCTATACAACAACAATGAGCCGTGGGCAGACCTGGAGCAGTGAGGAGACGCTGTGCTTATGGAGTTAAAACTGTTCACAGTAAATGTTAATGCAGCATCTTCAAATCATTTGCATTATTAAAAGCTTGACACTGTTTGACTCACGTCTCAAAAAGAAATATCCCGCATCATGTAGTGAATTGTGTTATTTGGTTCATACCTGATCCTCAGCGTCTGTTTATCCCGTTGTTATTATAGATCCATGGTTTATCCACATGCTGCTGTCAGTAAGTTGTGGAGTTATTATTATAGATCCATGGACAGGGCACGGAGCGCACAGACAGTCTCCTTCGGCTTTCTCCTCACGCATTCTCCGACGCTGTTCCAATATTTAAAACGTGTTTCGCCTGCGTCATATGAGCTGCTGTTGATGTTGAAGGTGGTTTTGCTCTAAAAAGAGCAGACATGCTGCACATACGATCTCAATGTTTTTCTCCGGTTCCGCGTCTATCCTCCTTGAGCTCTCACTGTCCAATAGGAGCGCCGATCGTCACACGTGTCCATATGTTTATATAAAAAAGGTTCACTTGCAAAAAGTACAGTCTGAATACGAACCGGAGCAAAAGAAAAAAGTTTGGTCCACTTTTGATTCGGATCAAGCAAGCGGAGCAAAGGACTTTTCAGGTCTGAATACACCCTTAGAGAGATAGATACTTTATTGATCCCCGTATGAGAAATTCAGGTGTCCAGCAGCAGAAAACTCATCCATGTTTGTTGTACAGTCTGACAGCTGAAGGAATAAAGGATCTCTTGAAACGTTCCGTTCGGCAGAGTAGTGATTGGAGCCTGTTGCTTCGATTACTCCTCTGAGCGGCCATAGTGTCATGCAGAGGGTGTTCTGGATTTACCCAGGATGCCCTGCATTAGAGCCCGTTCAATTCAAAAAACATCAGCCTCACATATCCTCCAGGACCATCCAGGAAGGACACGGAGCATACTGCAGGGTGTCAAGAGCCTGCTCAACCTTTGGCATGGGCAGTCGGAGTACTAGCCTCTCAAAAGTCTTCTTTATGACAGATGTTTGTGCGACTGGTCTGTAGTCCTTGCATCCTGTCGGCCTTTCTACCTTTTATCACATAGTTAAATGTTTTGGTGGCTTGAAAGTTAGATACACCAGCTTTAATGTGGCAATATTTTGCAGAATCAGAAAAAGATCAGAGCTATACAGTTTGGAATACGTGTTCCAGTGAGATTTCAGGAGGGGGGACTGCTAGAAAATCATTTTACACATCGAATCTCAGTGTACAGCAATTACATGCAAGCTGAAAAAAAAAAACGGACAAATGAAGCCGCCAGTACTCAAATCTAGGTTATCATTTTTGCAGTATAGACCAAAACATGCGGCTGTCAGTAATCAAATTCTCAAAAACTAGCTTTGTGGAGAGAGTCACCATGCAGGAATAATAATGTATGTTAACAATAACGGTCTTTCAGTTTGCATTTGACCTGTGGTGTGATGAAAGGCTTTACTCACAGCCTCAGTTTCTGGTGCATTTGTGGATATCCCATGAAGGAACCACAAAAACCTATGTGAGGGCGTCTATAAATACCAATTCTAAAAATCCATTGTGCCCGAGGCTTTGGCTGTGCTCCTGAGCGCCCCCACGGTCTGTCTGTGTTAAAGACAACACGCCCACGCAAGCATCCATGTGAATCCAGCTGAAAACAAGATGGGACACTGTCTTATAACACTATCTGACAAAACATGGAACGGATGGTCACATAGTCCTGATGGTACAGCTTCACCAGCTCCTGAGACTTGTATGTTGTTGTCAATTAGGTTTCATACACTCTACTGGCCCTATTTGTTCTATAATAGATTGGGCATCTTTCTGAGTGGAGTTTGCATGTTCTCCCAGTGTTTGCGTAGGTTTCCTGCAGGTGCTCTGGTTTTCCCTACCACTAAAAACATGCACAATAGGTCTGAAATTTAATGAGTGAGTGAATGGATAGTGTTGGGTGGAGGCTTTGATGCTCCAGTGTGTTTGAAGTCTCGCTTCCGTCATCACCGCGTGGAGAGAGTAGAAAAATATCTGTGGTCTGAACATTGTAAAGCACTTTGGCTGACCTTGGTCTTTAAAAAATTGCTGTATAAATTAAGATTACTTATGATTATTTAATGAAAGCAATGTCTGTCTGTTTCTCTGGAGCTCAAAAATCTTGCCGGTGTTCTGTCGAGATGGTCTGCCCGTCGATCTAATGTCTAACGGCTCATACACGCAGGGCTAATTTGAAATACGTGCCAATTTTATCAGCGAGGAGCGTACACACCGCACAAGCAGACGAGCGCGGTAGCACGTAGCGTCGCGCACCAAGCCGCGCTCATAGCGGTGTGTACGGGCCGTAATGAATGGATTGTAATGTAACCATGCGAAATAATACAATTATATATACTAGATTCATTTGATGATTTAGTCTTTTGAAAAATGTGGGTGAAAACGTCTTGGACTTTACTCCAAATAGCGCTCCGTAGCATATATGTCCTTTTATTTTTTTAAACGTCTATTTTTTATTTATGTACAGTACAGGAACACCATCACACATTTAGATTCAGATTCAGATTCATTCAGATTCATTTTATTTGCAATTTGCAGTAAAAACACCACATTGGAATACATTAGCAAAAGTCTCCAGTGTGCACAGACAAATACAGACATAAAACATTAAAAGTACAGAAAAATAAAAAATAGAAATAGAAAAAAAACAAATAAAACAGACAAATGTCAATGTGAAATCAATCGACTAAAACAGTATCAATACAAAGAGCAAGAACATTAAAG